CCCGCGCCCCCAGGGGGCAGGTCTAGCCTCCTGAGGAAGTGAAGTGGTTGGACCTAGACTCCTGGGGCAGCCCCTAGGACCAGGGATGAGATTCTGTCTTGCTTAGCCTGTTCGTGGGTGGGAGTGGAGGGTGGGAGGGTGGACACATTTCCTCCAGCCTGTGGGATCTGTGACCACTCTTTCCAAAACACAATCATTTTCAGCCTCTGCTCAGTAATACCTTGGAGAAGGGCTTAGGAGTGACAGGACCTCTGGGGGAAAGTCTTTCTCCTGGAGGCAGGGGTGGGAGCACCTGACCGTGGCTCCTGACCTGTAGTTTATGGTATCCTGGGGGAGAGACCTCTCTGAACACTCCATTATGTTCTCTCTCCATTAAAGAGTTGGGGAAAGAGGCAGGAGGAGGCAGAAGCCAGTCCCCCCACCAGAAGCAGCTGAGTCGGCTACCTGTGCATCCATCCAGCCTGGCACACAAAGACCCCGGTCCAGCCATGTGTGGCATAGAGCCCCCTCCCCAGGCAATGTCCCCACCCCTATGCAGGTGTCAATCAGGGTACTGGTGACTTCTGGGCCTGAGTGATGCCAAGGCTTCCCAAGCACATGCCACTGTCCCCAGCCCATGGCAGTCTCCACTGGCCACTGAAGCCCAGATCTTTTGAAGGAAAGGACTCATGTTTATTAAGCACGTACTGTGCACTAGGTAGTACATAATTTCAGACATCACAAAACAATGAGCTGAGTTTATCTCCATTTTCCAGATGAGGAAACTGAATCCCTGATGGAGCAGCCAAAGTCACCCATGATTCAAACAGGAAAAGGAGGGTGAGGCAGACCCCAGGAAGAGGACCTCTCAATTGTGAGGGGCAGAAAGGCTCAGCACCTGGAGTAGCCATGTGGTGCAGGAGGCAGGCCTGGGAGCAGGGACCCGAAGGCTATGTCTGGGGCCCACCACCCACTACGAGAGGCTGAGTAGGGGAACGGCCTCCAGACTGCCAACCCCCTCAAACCCACCTGCCCGGTAGGAGAGAGGGCTGTGGGAAGGTCTCTCCATAAAGTCCTTCCAGCTTCCTCTCCCTGGCCTGGCCAGACTTCCAATACTTCCAGATGTCCCATCAGCCTATGGGGGCTGAAGGGGCCAACTTGTCCAGGTTGCTGGTTCTGAGCCAGCCCCTCCAGCCCCAGGACAGATGGCTGTGGGTGCTATTTTTAGAGCTCTCCTGAGGGGGAGCGTTCAGGGCTCTCTCAGTCACCCTTTTATGGGTTCAATCATGGGCATTCTCTGCAAATGGCTCCTTATCAGTCAGTCAGGCCCCATGGGACTCCACATCCCAGGAAACACCAGGGTGCCCTGCTGAGCATGGAGGTGGAAGAGGACACCAGGACAGGGGATATAGATCCTACCTTTGGAGGAAGGAGAAAAGTCATTCTTCTTAGGGACTCCTCATCCAGGGGGTAAGGCACAGCCCTGTCCTTCAAGAACCCGTCTCAAAGGAGAGACATGGCCGTACCATGGGGGATCCTCAATCTGAGGGGTTCTCAGAACATAGATACAGAGAGACAAACAGAGAGACAGCTGTTGTCCTGTTTGGAGGGTGACAGCAGAAATCAAAGAATTCCACTCCTCCATGGAAAGACAAAAGACAGGTGCGCACCCGAGGATGGAGGGGGCAGTGGGAGCTGGTTAGGACATCTGTGATCCCAGGAGTCAGGGCCTACAGAAGGACCCTGCAGGCTAACAGGGGCAAGGATACCAGAGAGTAGGGGGCTGTTTGCTCTTCTGACCCTGCGGCACTAACCATGGTGGTGATAGGGGGTTTCTAGTGCACTGATTCTGGGCAGAGAGATGGAGCCTGTGAGATGCCCACAGGGAATCTGACATCCCTGGAACCCCGTCATGTCTTTGGGGAATATGGGGTCCAAGGACAGATGGGAAGAGAGGAGAGACATTATAGAAGCTAAAGGGCATGGGATGGCTTGAATTTAGGCTACAACCTCTGAAGAAGTCACTTCCTCATTTATAGCCAAAGTAAATGGGTGCCTGGGTAGTCTCAGTGTGGACCAGAAGCCAGCCTCACACATCCCTCCAAGCTCTCCCTATCCATCATACCCCCATCCTCCAATTTAACTCCCCAATTATAGGGCAAGCCGATTGGTTCATTAATCACCGCCTCCTCATCGGAGAGCTTGTTAACTTGCTGATTAGCGGGGAGTGTGTCTCAGCCCTCTATCAATGGGCTTGGCTACCTCCGTCCACACACCCACACCCATCATTGATGCATGACTTAGTGGCCATGAGACGTGTCTGGGCAGAAAGTTCAGAAACAATTGTTTTTGTAGATGTTTGAGACCAGGGCCTGCCTCCAACTTGTCCTTGAAGGGTAGGGGACAGAATCACTAGGACTTCCTTGGCCCCATTCTCAGAGCACCGGGCAAGGCCACCCTAAGTCAGGGAGACCATGGACCTGAACCCCAGCCAACAATTCCCCTTGTCTGGTGGGCTCAAGGGCCACTCATCAAGAGGGTGTGGCCTCTGCCATTCATCCCTAGAGGTTTAGAATTCTGCACCCCATCACCCACCTGCCCGTACCCACTCCCCACACATAAGGCCTCTCTGATCATTGTGCACTGTGCAGCACTGGCCCACTGCCCTTCCACCTGCAGGCATTTCCTCAGGCCCAGGGTCCTGCAGACAGCAGGTTATTATACAGCAAGAGTAATTCCATCCTCATTCAACAAGCACTTAGGAAGTCCCTGCTGTGTGCCAGGCACTCATCTAGGGACTGGGATAGGGCAGTGAACAAACAGGCAAAACAAAACCCTTGCCCTCATAGAGCTCACATTCTAGTGACATAGAAATAGAAAATAAATCAATAAGCATGGAGGCTGGGCGCGGTGGCTCACGCCTATAATCCCAGCACTTTGGGAGGCTGAGGCAGGTGGATCACCTGAGGTCGGGAGTTCGAGACCAGCCTAACCAACATGGTGAAATCCCGTCTCTACTAAAATACAAAAAGTAGCCAAGTGTGGTGTCTCATACCTGTGATCCCAGCTACTCGGGAGGCTGAGGCAGAATTGGTTGAACCTGGGAGGCAGAGGTTGCAGTGAGCTGAGATGGTGCCACTGCATTCCAGCCTGGGTGACAAAGTGAGATTCTCTCTCAAATAAATAAATAAACAAATAAATAAGCATGGAATATGTCTGATAAGTGCTATAGAGAAAAATCAGAGCCGGGTATAGTGGCTCATGTCTGTAATCCCAGTGCTCTGGTAGACCAAGGTGGGAGGGTCACTTGAGCCCAGGAAGGAAGTGACGAAGCAAACCATGAAGCTACCTTGGGAAGAGTGGGAAATAGGTTTGGGAAACAGTGATGCCAAGAAGGAAGGAATTTTCACTTTTTGTGGTAGGCGTTCTCCTAGGAGCCCTCCCTTTTACCTGAAGCTTCTGCAAAACGCAGTAACAGATACCTGTGGCATGGTGCGCGCCCAAGGCTCAGGCTTCGCTCTAGAACAGAGGTAGGCAAACTCTTTCTGTAAAGGGCCAGATAGTAAATATTTTAGGCTCTGTGCTCCAGAGTCTTTGTTGACACTGTTAGGCTCAGCCATGGTAGCTTGAAAGCAACCACTGAATACACCAAAAAAAAGAATGGACGTGGTAGTGCTTCAGTAAATCTTTACTTACAGACATTAAAGTTTGAATTTCATATAATTTTCATGGCATAAATTTTTTTTTAAAGTTTTTTTCAACCACTTACAGATTCAACCACTTTAAAAAGCCATTCTTTTATTATTATTGAGCTCAAGGGATCCTCTGGCCTCAGCCACCCAAAATGCTGAGATTATAGCCATGAGCCACCGTGCCTGGCCTAAAAGGCATTTTTTTTTTTTTTTTTGGAGACAATCTCACTCTGTCGCCCAGGCTGGAGTGCAGTGTTGTGATCTCAGCTCACTGCAACCTCCCCTTCCCGGGTTCAAGGGATTCTCCTGTCTCAACCTCCTAAGTAGCTGGGACTATGGGTGCACCCCATCACGCTCGGTTAATTTTTGTATTTTTGTAGAGACGGGGTTTCACCATGTTGGCCAGGCTGGCCTCGAACTCCTGACTTCAAGCAATCTGCCTGCCTTGGCTTCCCAAAGTGCTGGGATTACAGGTGTGAGCCACCGCACCCAGCCCCTAAAAGATATTTTTAACCCACAGGATGTATAAAAACAGGCCCACAGGGCCATAGTTTGCCAACCCCTGGTCTAGAAAAGCAAGAACTCAGCTACCTCTGCCCTGGGTTGAGTAGTCTGTTTACCAAGAGTTGATTGGGTGTGTCCCTAGCCTGTTTATGCCAGGTGTATTGTCATTGTAATCATATAATGGAATTAAATATTACATAAACTGATGAGATATGAGTGTATAAAGAATTGTTTCCTTGCAAATGACATTAAATGCTTTGGAAGTAATACACAAAGATTTGCTGACATGTTGAATTAGATGTGAAGGATAAACTATTCAGGGAAAATCCTAAAAATCTAGAAGTGTTCTACATCAGATTGCTTCACAAGTGTCTTTAAGTTTAAATAAATTGAAAATAATAGGTAATTAATTACAGGATTGTGGGTGTGATTTATGCAAGAAAGTCAAAGGGGGATTTGAGTCAAGATACCCAAAGAAAAACTAGTGCCTGAATATGAATTTTGTATACATGTCTGTTTTTATGATTGCCCACTTGAACTGACTTTTTCAAAAGACTGGTCAATGACTCAGACCTGCTTGTATCAAAACAAGGGCTTTTCCAGTATTGTATATATTTCCAATATAGTTTGAATGTTTTATAGGGTATTTCTTTTTTGTTTTTTTCTTTTTGAGATGGAGTTTCGCTCTTGTGGCCCAGGCTAGAGTGCAATGGTGCCATCTCGGCTCACCGCAACCTCTGCCTCCTGGGTTCAAGT